ATGCACCATCGTTATCGCGTAGAGTACCGATCTCCTCACGCAAGGCATTGACCTCATCACGTAACTCCCTTGACTCATCCCGTTGAGGTGGAGGTGGAGAACAGGGAGATAGGAGTCGTGGCATCTTTGCCGGTCGCCTATCATGAGGTGATGGTGGAGAAGAGGCTCGATGATGTGACGGGATAGGTGATGGCTCTCGTTCTAGAGGTGTATAGTCGTCACGATCGGGTGATGGCTCTAGGTGAGGTGATGGCTCTCGAATTGGAGGAAGTGGATGCTGCTCATCATCCGTGCCATCAAAAAAACTCTGACTAGCTTGCCACCAATCAGTGGCAAGCTCTTCCTCCGTGGGTGACAGTCTTTGTAATGGAATGTTGGCCTCCTAAAATATAAAAACTCAAACAAAGTTAAACGTCTACTATTAATAACTTGTTTATATATTATATGAAAGTATTTGTGTTAACTTACATTATTTATTGTGGCATATGGTATTAAGTCTTCCCAATCCAACAGAGTTTTCCTCTTCCAGGAAATAGCCCTGGGAATATCATTTGACGTTTTTATTGCATATGTACGCATGCTGGGGAAAGCCTCGAATATCCAAATCTACAAACAATATAATAACAAAATTAGTAATTGTTAAATAATTAATTATAATTTTAGAAACATTATATAGAAATTCTTACCTTAAAGGCCCAAACAAAGCCTGACAAAGTGTATTTGGACCCATCGCCCCGCAAACTTTTGCGGTCATCAAAGGCAGACGACAACTTAGTCCAGGTAGCTTTCCATATATACGAACCCCACGGAAACAGATTCCATGCATTCAGGTCCTCTACCAATATTATTAGCTCCCGATGAATAGGTTGTCTGGCCTCTCTGCCTAAAAAGCCGGCATACACAAGTAGTAGAAGGCATACTCGGACAACATCGACGTCTTCCATCCGAGTGAAACCAGCTTTCTTATTAAATAATTTCTTCAGGTCGTCGACATGTAGGTTCGGCTTCTCCATTGACTCATCCGGAAAAACCCGGGATAACCATGATGGGCGGGCGATATGACGAGTGTACCGGCCTACATCATCGTGTCCGAATCGTAGACCAGTGATTAAGCAGAACTCCTTCCGCCCAAAGCAAGTATACGCTGGTGGAAAATGAAACCATATCTCTTCCTCACCACGTTGTATACTGTCGGGTAGATTTGATGTCATGGTCTGAAGCCACAAATGGGTCAAATTAGCATCTCCACCCGGATGCTGTACTCTCAGCCATGGCCCGAAGCAGGTTTCCTCAAACAATTGTCTTTGAGCAGGTGAAAGCTTCTTTGCAATTGTAGTGGCCAGGCTGACTTTATTTCTCAAGGTCAATTGAGCCGAAAAAAATTTCTACAAAAACAATAAACATACCAAGTTAGATATACCAAAAACTACACTGTGAAGATATACCAAAAACAATAAACATAAAAAGTAGTAGTTTATTCTTGAAACTAAAATTTGCAACACTGTTTTGTCTTTTGGTTGAAATGAAAATCGCAACGAGAGAATCGCAACGCGAGATGACAATCGCAACGAGAGAATCGCAACGCGAAATGAAAATCGCAACGAGAGAATCGCAACGCGAAATGAAAATCGCAATGCGATTTTGGTTTCGCGTTGCGATTCTCTCGTTGCGATTTTCATTTCGCGTTGCGATTCTCTCGTTGCGACAGTCATTCTCTCGTTGCGATTTTCATTTATCTCGTTGCGACTCTTCTGCAAATTGAAACTTGAATGGATTGCATTACTTCAACCAAAAGACAGAACAAAGACAAAGACAAATACTAACTTGAAAATCGCAACGAGAGAATAGCAACGCGAAATGAAAATCGCAACAACAGAATCGTAACGCGAAATGAAATCTAAGTGAAATGGTTAATCTATTATTGAAATGACCAGTAAACTTATCATCAGTTTCAATATGAGAAACCTACAATAATGCAAACATTTCAAAATAAAAATAATTAAAAAAACTAACCCTCGGAGGTTGATTTTCCATTTCTGAATATTGTGAGGGATTTCTGACCGTGAATGGTTGTGAGGGATTTCGCCGGAGATGGGGACGGAAATCTTCGGAGATGGGGACGGATTTCTTCGCCGTAGAGAGTGAGAGATGGAGATGGGACTGAGTTGTGATTTTAGGTTTTAGGTTATGAGTTGCGATTACGGGATTTTGTCTTAATATTCTTTTTGTAATTTGAAAATAAAATACGCGTAGCGATTATAATGGCGCTTTAAATATCGCGTTGCGATTTACGGATACGCGTTGCGATTTTATGTATTATCGTTGCGATTTACGGATACGCGTTGCGATATACGGATACGCATTGCGATTTACCCATACGCGTTGCGATTTACGGATACACGTTGCGATTTACGGATACGCGTTGCGATTTATGTGTTCGCGTTGCGATTTTCATATTCGCGTTGCGATTTTGGAAAATCGCAATGCGAATTTGTACTATCGCATCGCGATTTTCAAGAATCGCGTTGCGATTTTGGAAACTGATTTGCGATTCTGGAAACTGATTTGCGATTCTGGGGATCGCGTTGCGATTTTTATTTCGCGTTGCGATTTTGTTGGTCATTTTGGCAAATCCAAAAAAAGTTGGTTAAAATCGTATATTATAACTTTTTTTTGGTCACTGAGGCGATTTTCTCTTTTTATAATTTATTGAAATGAATAATCAATCAATAAAATGAAAATTTTAATATTTTTTAATTTTTTATAATATATTACTACATGAAGTTGTAAAATAAACTAAAATAAAGCAAAAAAATAAGAAGGGCAATTCTGTCATTTTATATTACTGAAATCAAATTCATCTGACAGTCTGCAAACCAAACAGAATATGGAATTAGATTCCAATTCCTATAGATTCTAATTCCTTCACAGATTTCAATTCCCTTATAAACATTCCAGCGAACCAAACGCCACCTTAAGATTCCCTTTTTAATAAAAAAAACAGAGATATCCTTGAATTGTTGCATAGAGAATGGGGGCATCATAACTATATATGGATCCATCTTAAAACTATACACTTTTGGCTCTCACGAGCTTCTCCTGCGCGGCCTTGTATTTGGTAAGAAATTTAAAAATTTAAATTATAATATTTTAATTTTTTTAAAATTATATTAAAATTTATTGAGCAAATTTAATAATAAAATAAAATAAAATATTTTTCTTTTTTGATGTCTAGTATTCAAATAACTACTACTAGTATTTAGATTTGTATTTCAATGTAGTAAATTAGATCGTGACAATATATATTTTGATTTAAAAAAATTAATTATTTACATTATATAAAATTTACAATTTTTAGTGTAACTGTGTGATGCTAGTATTATTTTTTAGGATAAAGAATACAAATGGTCCGATTATATGATGTTGTTTTGTCGAGTCGTTTAATTATCAAAAGTTATAAAATAATCCTTTGACTATATAATGTTGTTTTGTCGAGTCATTTGATTATCAAAAGTTATAAAATAGTCCTTTATTTTTTTGAGTCTATCGACTATTAAAAGTTACAAAATGGTCACCTAATTATTCATTATATTCCAAATTCATCACTTTTCGTTAAAAAATTGACGTCAGTCTGAGCTGGATGTTAATCTATTATGAATTATCTGAGATATGATAAAATCTTACCCAGAATCTCAAACGACAATCATATTTCAAAAAATAGACTAACATCTAACTTAGATTATCGTTAATTTTAAAATGAAAAATGAAAATTTTGGAACATAATGATAATCGGATGATCACTCTATAACTTTTAATAATTGATAGATTCAATAAAATAATATCCTATAGTCAAAAGATTATTTTATAATTTTTAATAATCGAGAAACTCAACTAAACAATGTTATAACCATAAGTCCAAATATATATATATATTTGGAAATAAAGAACAAAAAGGTAGAATGAAGAAGTTGAGATATTTGTATAAGACTCATAGCTTAAAGTAGATAGGCTTTAAGAAGGGAAAAAAAGAGTTATCCATTTGGATATGCTTTCCAATAGTAATATATAATGGATGATGTCATTGATGACATCATAATTACTTTAACCTCCACAAGATTAAATTTTATCCAATATCATCCTCGTATATCGAAAATGGATAATTTATTTTTCAAGGGTAAAACAGGAATAGAATCATGGAATCAAAATGTACTCTACGATACAATGCAGGGTCATACAGTATTTTTATAGCTTCTCAAGTGAAAAAAAATGAAATTTCGGGATTAAAAGATGATGGCAGAATAATTAAAGAAAGTGACGCGTGAATAAAAAGGGGAGGGGGAAATAGGGATGGCAATGGGTTAGGTTCGGGCCGGGTATTGGTCCCCGTCCTCGTTCCCGTTTAAAAAAATCGGTACCTGTATCCGTTTAAAAAACTGCGGGGATTTAAACGGAGATCCCCGTCGGGTAATCGGGGAAAACCGCGGGGAAACGGGTATCCCTGTTTAGCACAAATAATTATTTAAACGAGTATTGGGCCAGGTATTAGGTCGGTATTGGGCTGGAAATCGGGCCGGGTAGTATATATATATATATTTAAATTAAATATATATTTTTATTTAAATTAAATTTATTAATATATTAATATTATATATATATATATATATAAATAATTATTTTTAATATTTATCAGGTCGGGTATCGGGCGGGTAATCGGGTAATCGGGGCGGGGATTACCAAACCCGTCCCGTCTCCGTCCCCGTTTAAAATAAATGAGTTTTCCCTGTCCCCGTCCCCGTTTATCATCCCCAAACCCGACCCATTTAATTCGATTTTCGATTTTTTCTGTCAAGTTCAGGTTTTTTTTACCATTCCAAGGGGAAGGAGGAATTTTACTGAGAGAAGTGGTGTATACAGTCACAGTAGAAGACTCTTCTTCTATCTTTTTCTCTCTCTATTGTTTGTCTTATATAATTTATAAATATATGTATATTGTCGGTTTCTTCGTGACTTTTCTCAGCTGATTTCACCTTCAGTTTTTCCTTCCTGTCTCAGGATTCAATCGATCACTGCATTTTCCGGCATTGGCGTCGGCTAACTCACTCCGGTTACTGCTTTTGACCAGGTTTCGTTTTCGAGTAAGTTTTGACTATTTTTATTTTTTCAGTTTGTTAAGATCTAAAATTTTTAAAGAAAGAACTATCTTTTATTATGAATCATTTAAGTGTACCTTTAGATCTAAATTTTTGTTTTTATTTTCCTTTTAGTTAATTGAGAGCGAATATGACTGTGGATGAAGTGACGGCTGTGCATGCGGTGGAGGAGGTGCAATCGTCTTCGTCCAAGGTTGAAATTGCGTCGGAGGAAGATCAGGTGAAGAAGAATGGAAATGAAGATTTTTCTAATGGCGTCAATGGGAGGACTGTCAGGGAAGACAACGACGGTGACGGTGATTATGTTTTCGTTAACGGAAACGAAGAAGAAAATGGAGGTCTAGTGGAGTCGGATATTGAGAAAAACGGAAATGGCATTGATGGAAGAGATCAGGGGGTTGAGAGTGTGGAGACCGATGGAGAAGTGAAATCTAAAACTGATTTGGTTAAGGATTTGAGAGAAGAGGATGAATCTTGTATTGAAATTGTGGATCAGGATAGGGAATCGATGGAATTGTGCCACGTGGAGGCACCTGTTGATGAAAAAAAATCAGTGGATCTTGTTCGGAGTGGTCCTGTTTTTGCTATTAATGCTGAAAATGGTGCGTCAGAAATTGCCACGGCTGATCAGAATGGAGTCTCTGAATTGGCTGAAGATGTTTCTGATGCTAAGAATATAGGTGAACACACTGTTTCAGAAGCTGCTGCTGTTGACTCCAGTGATAAACAGAGTGATGAGGTTTCTTCTGTCTCTGGCCCTGACGTCAATGGTTCGGCTAATGATAGTGTTGAAGCCAATTTTTTCGATTTCAGGTCTAAAGGGAATAAAGAATCTGAAATAGCTGTAGCTGATGATAGTGATTACAATGGAGATGGTCTAGCTAATGATAGTGCTAAGGCCCCTGTCTCTGTAGCCAATGATGTTGGTTCCAGGTCAAAAGAGAATGAGGGCTCTGAAATGGCTGTAGCTGATGATGGTGATTGCAATGGAGATGGTTTAGCTAATGGTAGTGCTAAGGCCAGTGTCTCTGAAGCCAATGTTCTTGATTTCAGATCAAAAGAGAATAAGGGATCTGAAATGGCTGTAGCTGCTGATGGTGATTGCAATGGAGATGGTTTAGCTAATGATGGTGCCAAAGCCACTGTGTCTGAAGCCAATGTTCTCGATTTCAGGTCAAATGAGAATGAGGGATCTGAAATGGCTGTAGCTGATGACGGCGATTGCAGTGGAGAAGGTTTAGTTAATGATAGTCCTATGGCCACTGTCTCTGAAGCCAATGTTATCGATTCCAGGTCAAAAGAGAACTGAGGCTCTGAAATGGTTGTAGCTGATGATGGTGATTGCAATGGAATTGCTTTAGCTAATGATAGTGTCACTGTCAAGGCCACTGTCTATGAAGCCGATGTTATCGATTCCAGGTTAAAAGAGAATGGAAGCTCTGAAATGGCTGTAGCTGATGATGGTGATTGCAATGGAAATGTGTTAGCTAATGATAGTGTCAAGTCCACCGTCTCTGAAGCCAATGTTATTTATTCCAGGTCAAAAGAGACAGGGCTCTGAAATAGTTGTAGCTGATGTGGCGATTGCAATGGAGATGGTTTAGCTAATGATAGTGCTAAGGCCACTGTATCTGAAGCTAATGTTCATGATTCCAGGTTGAAAGAGAACGAGGGCTCTGAAATGGCTGTAGCTGATGATGGCAACTGCAATGGAGATGGTTTAGCTAATGATAGTGCCAAGGCCACTGTCTCTGAAGCCAATGTTATCGATTCCAGGTTGAAAGAGAACGAGGGCTCTGAAATGGCTGTAGCTGATGATAGCAACTGCAATGGAAATGGTTTAGCTAATGATAGTGCCAAGGCCACTGTCTCTGAAGCCAATGTTATCGATTCCAAGTTAGAAGAGAATGGGGGCTCTGAAATGGCCGTAGCTGATGATGATGGTTGCCGTGGAGATGGTTTAGCTAATGATAGTTCTAAGGCCACTGTTTCTGAAGCCAATGCTCTCGATTTCAGGTCAAAAGAGAATGAGAGTTCTGAAATGGTTGTAGCTGATGATTGCAATGGAGATGGTTTAGCTTATGATAGTGCTAAGACCACTGTCTCTGAAGCTGCTGTAGATATGAGGAATAAACAGAATGAGGTTTGTGAATTGCCTGTTACTGATAATGGGGTTACTACCGTCTCTGTCTCTGACCGTGATGGGGATTGTTTACTTGATGTTAGGGAAAAGGACACAGTTTCAGAAGCTCTTGTTGAATCCGGGGCTGAACAGAATGAGTCCTCTAACAGTGGTGAAGTTGAAGCTGATTCTGCATGTCCCGTCTCTAATGTTAATGTAGACAGGCCTGAACAAAATGTTGTGTCTGGAAATGAATCAGTTAAAGTTGGGGATTGTTTACTTGATGTTAGGGAAAAGGATACAGTTTCAGAAGCTGTTCTTGTTGAATCCGGGGCTGAACAGAATGAGTCCTCTAATAGTGGTGAAGTTGAAGCTGATTCTGCATTTCCTGTCTCTAATGTTAATGTAGACAAGCCTGAACAAAATGTTGTGTCTGGAAATGGATCAGTTAATGTTGGGGAAAGCTTAACAGCTGCTGATGAGTTTCCCATGGAAAATGGTTTGGGCTTAGAACACAATACTGAACAAGATTTGGGTTCGGTAGCTGATACTAATTTAGAGAAAGATACTGGGAGTGGTTCTTTCTCTGGTGAATGTGGAGAGGCCTTGCAGGATGTTCACACTCAGGATGGTATTTCAGGTACGGTTCAGATCGACTCTGTTGATTCAGGTCAGTCTTCTGAACTTGTGGAAAACTCTCACTCCCATTACAAATAAGAGTGTGCATGCAGCTGTTGAAGGGGTTCTTAATGATACAATAGCTGATGTCTTGGAAGGCATATCTGCCTCAGTTACACTCCACAATGATGCAAGTGTTGAAAGTGGTGTTAGTGATACTGCATCTGAGGCTTTACCACCTTCTGTTAATGAAGAGAAACTGGAAACTGATGTTATTGAGTCAGATGAGAGTAGTAGAGTTGGTTTTGAGAATACTGAGATAGATATAAAGGATGAGACTGGTTATATTGACAATAGTTTTAAGTCAAGATGCTTGGCCAATGGTGTTGATTCTATCTTATCTGCAGAGGCTGAGGTTTCGAAAGTGCTTGTTGAATGCCATAGCTCTGAAACCGATGAAAAATTGGTGAATGTGGTTGATGTTCAAAATGATAGTAACTTGGTTGCTACTGTAAGTAATGATGAGAAAGCACCTGCTGCAACCGAAAAATTTTCTGCTGCTGATATTTCTGACAATGTTGAACTTGTACATGAATCTAGAGAATCAGATTGTGATACTAACAATAACAAACAAACTCCGCCTGTCGTAAAGGGATCAATTCAGTTTGGTAGTGTTGTTACATGTCAAGAGTCAGAAGAACCAGAAGGCCTTGACGAGGTTGAAAGGAGAAGTCCATTTTACTTCTTGATCAGGGTCCCAAGATATGATGATGAAAATTTAAAAGAAAAAATCAGGCTTGCTCAAATAACAGTTGATGAGAAAACTCAAAGTCGGGATGCCGTTCAAACTGAAATACAAAAGATGAGGGTAAGAATGTTTATGCTATTCTTTCTGAAAAGAATTCATATGTTTGTTTCTTTTTCAACGGTTGATAGAATGCTTCACTAATAGGCAATTTGCAAGAAATATGGTGATAATGTCGAGGCTGCCATATCCCAAGAAAGAGCAATACGAGATCTGCATAGGTCCAAACGTCAAGAAATAGACTCTATTCAATCTATGATGAACATTGAGGATATTGATGCCAAGGTAAGTTTATGTTTTACTTTGTTCTGATTTTGTGTCTAAATGCGTGTGTGTGTTTTTTTATATGATTAATTGTTCTAACTATATCACCGGTAAGCAGATTCGAAACATGGAACACATGATACAGCACGAAACCATGCCTCTTAAAGATGAAAAGCAGTATATTCATCAAATCAAGCAATATAAGCAAACTCGTGAACGAATCTCTTCTAATATGGGTAAGCAGGACGAAGTTCAGCAGGGTTCGGACCAAAAAGAACAAATTCAAGAGCGCCTGAAGGTATTAAATTCAATATCCGCTTTTTATTCCTGGCTTTACACATTCTATGATCAAAGCTGTGTTTTAAAAGGCGTGAGGCGCTCCAAGGGATTAGCTACCCGAGAGCCTCAATTTTTTGAGGCGCTTTGAGACGAGAGATTCACGTACGCGAGGCGCTTAATTTTACAAAACATTTGTAAATATTTTATAACCATACCTCAAACACAAAACAACTTAATAAGCAAAAACACCAAGTAGCATAGGTCATATTGTATCTCAAAAAGACAAATAAAAACATCATCAATAATCAAAATGCCTAAAACTCGTCTTCATCGTCGTCGTCATCAACATCAATCCCAAACACCTCCTCCTCCCCATCATCTTCGGAAAACTATAAACAAAATCTATAAATTAAAAAGAATGCATATTGAGCAGGATTATCTATAAACAAATTACATATTTACATTGTGCTTAAAAGCCTAAAATGAGTAAATTCTATATTTCTATGAACAGATTATCTAAACAAATACCTTAATGGCGAAAACCTTAATGATTATATATCTAAATTCTAAACAGATTACCTAACAATTAAACATATTATAGATAAACAATTAAACAGATTACCTTAACAAAATAACAAGTAAGCAGATCACCTTAACAATGAAGCGGATTATATATCTACAGCTGTGATAACCGATAAAGAAAGCTTGTGTCTTCCAATATATAAACAATTAAACAAATGACATTGAAGATGAAGCAATTAAACAAATTACAGTGAAGTAAATTAACCATGTTGGAGTGGAGGGGAAAAGAAAAGCAGATTGTACATACACTATAGTGATACAAATTTTAAAATTAAGACTTACCTTAATGGAGAAAATCGAGAAAGGAGATAGGAGAAACTGAGAAAGGAGTCTGCTTTCAACTTCAACGTAGAACAATCGCTGAATTAAGCATGGAATTTAAAAGGTCTGACTGTCGGAAGATTAAAAGGTCTGACTGTTGGAAGAAAATTGAGCCCAGACCCAAAATTTAAAAATGGGTCATTGTACGTGAATCGCTAAAAGCATCGCCTCATCGCCTCTCGCCGCCTCCGACGACTGAATCGCCGTCTCATGTACTCGCCGCCGCCTTGGTGGTCGGAGGCTTTTTTTTAAACGCCTCGCCTAGCACCTCAGGCGCGCTTTTTAAAACACAGGATCAAAGATCTACTTAGTATTGTATATTAAATATGTGAAGAATTTGAGATGAATGAAAGGGGGGTCTTTTACTTAGCTTAATGTCTTACTAATTGATGCCGGATGATAACCACTATTTTAGTTGTTGGATCGTTCATCTTTGTTTTGTAGTGTTAATACTGTTTTCAACTGCTTATTTTATTTCATTCTTCTGCATCTACAGTCTTTAAAGAAGGAAGCAGACCAATTGAAGGTCAATCTCCTGAAGGCTGAAGCAGTCACTAAGGCTGCTAAGAAAGAGTATCACGATGAAGCTGAAAAGTTGAACAAATTGCAGTCCCAGTACAAAGCTGCCGATGACATTCGCCAAGAAGCATATTCACAGTTGTTGAGTTTGAAGAAACAATCATATGAGAAGGTACTTTCAAACCCTGTAACCTTTCTTATCATGTGTAGGAACTCATGCATGCATGCTAACATCCAGTCACTCTTGCCTTCACCCTTAGAGATGCTTTTTTAATCGGATAAATGCAGTTAGTCGTGCACATCTGTATTGAAATTTATTTAAATAGTCGAAGATCGTATTAGAGTAACGGGGTGTGGAAGTTTTTGTAGACTTGTTTTTATGATGCATCATGCATATTATTGTTACGTCAATTTGACTGTATATTGCAAACTAGAATTGCTTTAAGGACGTTTTCCCATTATTTTCCTTCTGTATCCGGTGTTTCATGAAAGCATTCCCCCTGGAACTAAATTGGTGTTTTTGTTTTCTATTGGGAGATGCTTTAAGGTCAATTGAGATACCGATTCTTATCTTCTAGACTTTCCTCTCATAATACTTTGTGTCTCTTCAAGATATCCTGGTTTCATAGTGTGATAAAACTGCATCTTATTTTCCTGTTTCGGTTGAATCTTGGTCATGTAAACTAAGTTGTTTTTCTCCATAAAGAAACTAATGTACGGATAAAATATGACGACACTTGAATTTTGTAGAACAATTTTTTTTGGCAGTACAGGGATGATGCAAAGGCAGCAAATGATTTGGCTTTGAAAGGGGACAAAGAGGCACGCCAAAATCTCTGTGTTAACCAGGTGAGCCCATGCATTGATTTTGTTTCTTTGTTATTAAAATTTCATGTTCTGTTTTATCTAAACAGTTGATGGTTCAGGTTGAGAAAGTTATGGACTTGTGGAACAACAATGATGAATTCCGTAAGGAATACATCCGATGCAATGTCAGAAGCACATTAAGGAGACTGAGGACATTTGATGGCCGCGCGCTTGGTCCTGATGAAGAGCCACTTGTAATTCCTCAAGTGGTAAACGAAAGAGTTGCCAAGAATCACAGTGTCCAACTCAACTTTGGACGAACAAACACAAGATAAAACAGCTCCCGCAAAAGTGGAAACAGCTCCCGCGAAAGTGGAAACAGCAAAGGATAAACCTGCCGCAAAGGCCGTGGTGCAAAAGAATCAGACAAGTAAACTGGAGAAAGTCGGTAAAACCTGTTCCTCCAGCAAGTGGTTCAGCAACTGCTTCTAGCAGGGACAAAATTGAAGAAGCAGAAGAAGAACCGAAGGTAACAAAGGAGGAAGAGGAAAGGCTTAGGAAAGCAGAGGAATTGAGAAAGGAACAGGAAGCGGCTAAATTGAGGGAGCAACGACGGTTGGAGGAGATAGCTAAAGCTAAGGAGGCACTAGAAAGGAAGAGGCGAAACGCAGAGAAGGCCCAATCCCAAGCCCGGGCCGCATTAAGAGCTCAGAAAGAAGCTGAACAGAAAGAGAAGGTGAGCTCTTCATTTTCATTAACACAACAATTTTCCGTGCCAATTCCTCGTAACGTATCAATACTGGATACATTTTGCTTCGTCTCTATACGATTCAGTTGAATTATCCTTTTCGATGCAGGAAAAGGAAAAAAGGGCCAAAAAGAAAGAACGAAGAAAGGGATCATCAGTATCAGGGGATGCAAGTGTAACAGATGAAACCAACTCTGCTCCGACATCGGAAACACCAGCTGAAACACCGCAAAACTCTCAAAGTAGAGAGAAGCCAATAACATTGGCAAAGAGGTCTCAAAAGCCAACCCAGTTCACAAAGCAGAGCAAGGCAAAATCCATTCCCCCCGCCGCTTCGCAACCGTGGTAAAAGAAAGATGCAGACATGGACGTGGGTCCTCCTGACGTGCCTGGTAACATTCGCTTTGTTTTTGGTCGGAAAGTATAACTTGTCGTTCAACTTTGAGCTGCTGCAAAAGTTCAAGCTTTAAAGATATACGTTTATTGGTTTGGCTTAATTCTTTTGTGCTTGAACAGGGTGGGGTTATTTATATATTTGATTTTCTTAATTATTTTTCCATAGTTTTATTTATTTATTTATTTATTTCAGTTACTATAGTGTGTCATTGATTAGAGTAGTTTCTGTCAACTGCTAAATTAATACGGTGGTATTGTTAAGTTGGTATGGTGATGGTGTTAATTTATTATTTATTAATTACAATAAGGTACTATATTGGTTTTTTTTATAGACTTCCCTCCTTTCATCTTTTTTTCTTCCTTCTGATAGAATTTTAACTCTCATTATGGCGAGTGAGATTGGCCTTTTTATTAATGTCAGAATATACTCGACATTTCAACTCTGTTGTCATATAGAATTACATTAGGATAAAAGAGTATCGATTGAAAACAATAATTTTTAAACGAAATTATTGTTTAATAAATTGAGGTGGTAAACAGATAGGATTGGATCAGATTTCTTCTGGTCTGGATAGTTTCATGGAATGTCTAACTGATGAGAATCTAATTTAAGGCTAAAGAATGATAGGTTAATTTAGATTTTTTAAATAGTTTTTGGTTGTAAATTTTCTTCATAATATTTCGGTTGGTAATAGAAAATATTATATTTTTTTAGAATATTTTTAGTTTAATTGAAAATATTAAAAATAGGGATGATAAAAATATCCAATCCCGAAGGATTTTGACTTGACTCTATATAAGCGACTTTATTTTTTGAAATTTTAGAGTTTGAGGAGGGATAGTACCGGATCGGATTTAACGTGAAAAATATTGACCCAACCCGATTATATATATATATATATATATATATATAAGATTTTAAATATTTTTATTTTTATAATGTTAAAATATATCATTTCATTATTAAAAATACAATAAAATATTATAAAATATATTATTTTAATTATTTTAAAATATTAATATATTTGGGTTGAGTCGAGTCTCGGATTTTAGTTTAAAAATCGGGGTAGGTTCAGGGCTGGGCAGGGTATAAGCAATAGATTTTTGGGTTGAAGTCGGGACGGTAAAAAAAATCTTGCCCCGTCCCATGGCCATCCCTAATTAAAAAATTAATATTTTAGGTTACATTCAATCGAAATATTATATTTTTATAACATTTTCGATTCCGCTAATTTCTGTCATTTTTTAACCTTAAATTAAGTTGTTAACCTTAAATTAACCTAAGTTGTCGAATTTTTTCGTAATTTCGGATTCAAAACTTCTCTTTGTTTCGGATTCGTACACTTTCTAATTCTTAGATCCTTAAGGGTTTAATTTTCTTTTCAAAACTATATTTAACATCTTTTAACTGATATGAAAATTTTAATTATTTTTTTAAATTTTCATGTTATTTTTCTCCTAATTTATCTTAATTTATTTTTATTCAACTAATTAGTTAATTAGACGATAGCACGTTAAAATAACATAGAGCTTGACTTTCAAATCGAGCTATGCTCGACTCAGTTACATGCCATAAACATATGTTCACAGAAAACAACGCTTTAGGACGAAAGCAAGTATTAACATTTGCATTCAGAATTCAACTAGTTACACTAATTTAACAGCACTCCAAGTCCCCCAAGAGGACGATGATGGATGGCAGAAAATGCAAAATCAAGTTATTGCCATTACACCACCATGTATTTCACAGGTTCCTTTTACCCCAAATTAACATATCTTGACCATCAGCTTCGACCATGTAGAGATTTGGTTGCTTGCGTTGCCAAAGCTAACGCCTTTGCTCGTGTACTCGCCATCACCCACTCCCTTTCCAAACGACGCTGATGCTGTCTTGCATTTTTTGCACGTTTTGGAGCTAACCGCGAGTCTCTTTCCACAAAGGCTAGTCTAAATTTTTCTGCTTTGGATAGCTCATTGGCACTTGGAAGTGTCTGAGATATTGCTTTAGCTATAGATCGATATACAGACCATGTTTTGGGATCAATGTCCTTGACAATGGGATCATCCAAAGCAACATCCGGAAATGCCTCCCTAGGAACTTCGGTTCCTTTAAAACCAAAGAGTGAGGGCTTTGGATTTAGGGTTATCCGTGGACATTCGGCCAAAAACATCTCCTACGAGTCTTCATCAATTTTTGGCTGCCAAAAGGAGCAACAAGGTTCTGTAACAAGCCTTACCATAAAGATTCAGCGGGATGGAAGGAACACAATAAGAAAGAGGAAGTCCATACCCACACCAGCCAACGTATAGACTGTGCACCATGACCAATCTCCATGGTATCAAGCTCTTCCCAAGAATCTCCCTCCACATCATTCAGCTTTGGCTTCAATATGCCTAAACATCTGCGGGCTGTGGACTCGCTTGAAGGGCACCCCCTGCAATATTAACTTTGGTTCATATCCCGCTTCAATATCATTGCATACGATTGAAACAAAAAGTACCAAGTCTCGATCAAAATATTGCATATCTATTTATTCTGTAGATAAACCCCATCCGATATGAGATTGGTATTATTTATAATGTTAGAGCTTTCAAGATTATCTTGTACAGAACCAATAAATTTGTTAAACACGCACAGGGGAGCCACTCAGTCATAAAACAAGAGACTTGAATGAACCTAATAAATAACATGCATGTAGATAAGAGCATACCCGCATCTCAACGTCTCCAATGAATGGCAGTGCTGCACGAGTTCGGATACATCATCGGCAGTAATTTTTCTGCATTGGCGGCATAGGAGATGTCTCAGTAATCAATTCATTAATTGATTTCAAAAGAAAATTCCAGATTTTTATACCTTATATCCACGGCCCGAAGAGATTGGCACATTTCAGCTACTTTTGCCACGCCAAAATCAGTAACATCTGAACCCGAAAGGTCAAGAATTTCCCAAGAACTATCGGCCAATGAGATGATGACATCATCACTCAGTAATTTTCTTCTCCTTGCTATTGCTGCCAATGCTATCTGTCATCATCCAGCAGTGCGTCTTATTGGAAATACTAATACAAGTTCCAGCAAAGATTGTAGAAGTTAAATCAGAACATTCATTAAGCAATTCAATAATGCAATTCTCCTAAGCATAAGAAAGAACCATAGGGAAACATACAATAATCATCTTCACCATCTCTAGAAAGCTATATTCTTACAATTGCTGCCAATGTTATCTGTTATCATCCAGCAATGTAACTTAGAAGAACGCCAACAGAAAGTTTCTTCAGCAAAGATAGTAGATATAAAATCGAAAAGTATCACTATGCAATCCGACAATGAACAAAAAATGACTGTAATTCTCCTAAGCATAAAAAAGATCCACAGGAAAACATATGATAATGCATTAATCATCTTCATCATCTCTTGAAAGCTATATTCTTATAATTGCTACCTATGGCAATGATATCTGTCATCATCCGGCAATACACTTTAGAAGAATGTTAATACAAAGTTTCTTCAGCAACGATGGTAAATATGAAATCGGAACATATCAATTAAGCGATCCAAATGCCAAAGAATTAAAATGAACTCTAGGGAAATAAATGATGATACATTAATCATTTATGGGATGGAACTATCAACCTAAGCAAACCAAGTCTTACACATCCATCATCTCCTCGAAAGCTAGTCTTACAATTGCTAGCAATGTGCCTTAGAAGAATACTAATACAAAGTTTCTCAAGCAATGACTCTAGATATAAAATAGAAACATATCTTTAAGGAATTAAATGAATGAATGAATGAATGAATGTAATTCTCCTAAGCATAAAAATCAAACTATAAAACCTGGGGAAACCAGAAAAGACATAATTACTTATAGGATGAAACTATCAACCTAAGCAAACAAATTCTTCCAAATCCATTGTTGCTTTGAAAACTATATGATTATCGCTACAAGAAATTAAGGATTAACAGATCCAATTAAATTTCACCTTAATGTCTGCGGGAAAATTAACAGCAATTTCACTTAAATCCTCGATAATGTCCTCCAGATGCCGACCTACAACTCCAAGGCACAAGCTTACTAAACTAGGAGGTCTCGTCTTCTCGAAGCGTAACTCTGTCATTAAGAAAAAAACTGCCTTTTTAATAAATTCAATTAAGAACAACAAATTTACATTCAAAATTTTTCTTGTTCCTTTTCAATTGCTAACAACATAAAATTCTTTCAAAATTATTAAAAATATTGATACAGTAAAGGAAAAGAGAATACTTGAAGAGTGAAGCGAAGGGGTAAAACGAGGAGATTTAGAGTTCCGATGGGCGTTCAGATCGAGCCTCTTCAATGAGATTTCAACCGCTTGTGGAGCAGATTTTGCTTTTCCATCAAAACTTTAACTTTTACTGATTCAATTTCGTAGGGAAAGAGGGGCGAAGAGATTGACTGTGTCATGGCCTTGGATGAGAAAATGGGAATTAAGGATGAGCAATTAGGGATTGGAGAACGGGAAACGGGAAACGGGAAACGGGAAAATGAATTAGGGATTTTGAATTATAAAAAAGGGAAAGTGAAGGGACGAGAATTACCTGATATTTTGGACAGATTACGGGGCAAATTGAGACAACAAAGCAATTGGATTGAGGAATTCCAAGGGCAGAGCTAGGCAAATGAAACGGTTATGGGTTGTTAGAAAGAATCTACAGTTGTCAATAAATAATTGAATGAATCTAAGCAATATATAGTATATAGATTATAATCGGCAAAATGAGATTTTATGAATGAAAATACTAAAAATTTCTTTCTGTAACCTACCTTTCTTCTCTGTTTCTTCAATCCTTTCTCACCATTTCAGGTTAAAACTTGACAATTGGTGATCAGAGCTAGATTAGTGATCCCAAAAATTTTGTAAGCTGGGTAAGACAAAGAAAATGAAGAAGAGTGGAACCATAGAGACACTAGAAAAATCCGTGGAAGCTGGGAATAAAGAGATCTTACCATCTTGGTGGGCTGGTCAGAAAAGTAAGTTGGAAGCAAGGATACAAACACTGAAAACTGGAGTGATTGAGAATAGAGGATATTTGCAGAGAATATTGCAGATGGTGAACCAGGCAGCTGAGAAAAAGGATTTACCGTTATCTGATAAAGGTCGATTGCAAG